GAACACCAAAAGGTCTTGATACAATATGGGTAATGGTTGATCGATTGTCCAAGTCTGCACATTTCCTGCCTATGAAAGAAAGTTATACTCTTGAGAGGGCTGGCTCAACTGTATATTAAGGAAATTGTGACCAGGCATGGAATTCCATTGTCTATCATTTTAGACAGAGATAGCAGATTCACTTCTAAGCTCTGGGGAAGTTTCCAAAAGGCCTTAGGTTCTCAAATCCATTTGAGCACGGCATATCACCCACAGACTAATGGGCAAAGTGAAAGAACCATTCAGACTCTGGAGGATATGCTAAGGGCTTGCATAATTGATTTTGAAGGAAGCTGGGAAGATCACCTGCCTTTGATTGAATTTGCATACAATAACAGCTATCATTTCAGCATTAAGGCAGCCCCATATGAAGTTCTGTATGGGCGTAAATGTAGAACTCCTGTGTGCTGGAATGAAGTAGGTGAAAGGCAGTTAACAGACCAGAAATTGTGCAAGTCACAGCAGAGAAAATTGAGCAGATTAGAGCTAGAATCAAGACTGCTCAAGACAGGCAAAAGAGTTATGCTGATCAAAGAAGGAAACCAATTGAATTCTCTGTGGGAGATCTGGTAATGTTGAAAGCATCTCCTTGGAAGGGTGTAATGAGGTTTGGGAAGAAAGGCAAGCTCAGTCCAAGATATGTTGGGCCTTTCAAAGTTTGCAAAAAAATTGGAGCAGTAGCCTACCAGCTAGAGCTACCAGAAGAGCTTAGTCTCATCCACAACACTTTCCATGTCTCCAACTTACGTAAGTATTTGGCAGAGGCCACCCAAGCCATCTCACTTCCAGAGATCACGTTAGATGAGAAGTTGAACTTCCAAGAGGAACCAGAAGCCATAACTAGGTCAAGACTCTAAGAAATAAAGAAATCAAGCTGGTGAAAATTCAGTGGAGGTTTCATAAGGGTTCTGAAGCAACATGAGAGTTGGAATCAGAGATGAGAACCCATTATCCTTGGTTGTTTGAAATGTGAATTCCGGGACGAAATTCTTTCGAGGGGGGAATAATGTGATAACCAGGCTTTCAGACATATTGGGTTAAGGTACATTATGTGGTTATGTGTTAATAAGCATGAATTAATTGGAAGTATGTGATTATGCATGCTAAATAAAATGGATTATATGTGTATGTRGTGTRAATGATTTATGTCCACATAATTGGAAGCAGCATACAAGCACCTTGGTAAGCAGCTTGTATGATGCTGTTGTTAAGAAGCCTTCTTGACCAAGTATTTGTGTTTGCTTGTCTATGAAGTAAATTTCCACTGCCTGTTTTCTAAAAACCACCTGTGTGGCTATTTAAAGAGAGATGTGGTAAGAATCCTCCCTTACCATTTGCATCTCAAA